AGTATTGTATTTAAATTAAATCATTTTTAAATTGTCAGTTGTATTTAAAGAAAAGTTATGCTAAATAAATAAATGGCTAACTTTTTTTTTTGGTGGGGCCAGAGAAAATTTTGGCAGGGCAAGTAAAAATCTGAACCACTTGCCCGATCGGGCCAGTAGAAAAAAATCCCTAGCGTTGAACCCTGATATATATATATCACTGTACAGAGACATGCTGGCTGAGAATTTAACACGCTGCTGCTGCAAACATAATATACATGTAACCCCCCATAGCAGATTTAAACACAGGTGGAGCTGAGGTGGAGGAGGGTCTCTGAAAATGGTCAGCAGCTTAACAGCGTAGAACGACGCAGAGCAGATTAAAACTGATGAGGAGCAAGCTCATTGGCTCATTGGCAGATCAGGCGACCTATCAGCCTGCACCCGCATGGCAGACATTTCACTTGTAAGTGAATCAGTGAAGTGAATTTCTGTTTACAGCATTTCTTGATGTAATGGGGGGGGGGGGAGTTTTCCTTAANACAAGCAGAATAATCTGCCAGTGTGGTGATGGAAATAATTCTTGATTTCAATCAAGCATTTGATCGCATTGTCAGATTATTCTGCTTGTTTTAAGGAAAAACTCTCTTCATTTTGACTCATTATGTCTGAAAACAGCACTATATTTATTACATGTCAATAAAATGCTTCTTGATCTAAGACTTTGTAGATATGTGGAGTAGAAACGAGACTAAAACTCTGAGTAAGAAGAGTGTTTTCAGCAGTGCATGTCTGAAAGCGAGCATCGGTGGTGGGTTTGTGTGTTTGTACCTCCTTGATCTCGTCTTTGGCCTGCTGCAGTTTGTCGGGTTTGTTTGCGTACTGCAGTTTGGCTTCAGCTTCTCTTTTCCTCTGCAGCATCACCTGCGCGTCCTGCCATTTAGCCCAGGTCTTCATGCGCTGGTCGAACACACCCTGAGGAAACACACACATGCATATATAAATATATATTGGAGAGACCCTCCATCTGATCCTAACGCAAAGCTGAGCTGGAAGAAATACTGAATCATTCACTTAAATGAGTCATTCAAAATGACTGATTCATCTAGAAACAAAGCCATTGTGTTTATGAATAAATCACTGAAACGTTCAGTCAAAGGATTTGTTCAAAACAACCGATTCATTTAGAAAGTGAGTCACTATCTACATAAATGAATCTCTAAATCATTTATTCAAATGATTCATTCAAAATGGCTAATTCATTTAGAAATGAAGCCAGTCTTTATGAATGAATCACTGAATCTTTCACTCAAGAGTCATTCAAGGTGACTGATTTAGAAATGAACCAATTGATTCTTTGTGAATTAATCATTGAATTATTCACGCAAATGATTCATTCAAAATGACTGATTCATTTAGAAATGAAGATACTATCTTTATGAATGGATCAATGAATCATTTAAATGATTTGTTCAAAACTGCAAGTTAATTTAGAAACAAAGCCACCACCTTTATAAATGAATCACTGAATCGTTCATTTAAATAGTTCCTCCAAAATGACTGATTCATTTAGAAAACAAAGACACTGTATTTATGAATGGATCACTGAATAAATGACTCAA